CGGCTGTCTAACCGAGAAGGAGGAGGCAGAGGCCAGCAGCAGCAGCAGCAGCAGCAAGAGGGTGCGGGTCCAGATTCCCATCGGGCGACTGCAGGGTCTCTGGGGCTTTGCAGGATCTGTGGTGTGCTCTGCAGGGTCTATGGTGTGCTCTGCGGGGTCCATGGTGGGGGTCTATGGTGGGCTCAACAGGGTCTCAGGGGGTCTATGCAGGATCTGTGGTGGGCTCTGCAGGCTGAAGAGCCCACCACAGATCCTGCACTGCCCCCTCCTGAGACCCTGCAGAGCCCACCATAGACCCTGCAGAACCCACCACAAATCCTGCACAGCCCACCTGAGACCCCAGCTTTCCTGCTATGCTAATAGCGGAACTTGTCAAAAGGTGGATACAGTGTGTGAGCTGTATCCAGCGACTGACAGGTTAAGCAAAAAGTAAAAAACAGGAAGGGGTGGTGCAGTTTTAGTGGCGGGGGGGTGCCTGATTTTTGTCTTGCCAAGGGCAGCCCCAAACCAAAATACACCACTGTCCGTCTCCCACGCTATCAGAAGCTGCATACAGCGTGTGATGGTTACTATTTAATCAGCTCGCGCTGTATGCAGCTTCTGAGAAGACACGATAATAGCGCAGCCTGTCAGAAGCTAAAAAAAATGTCCCCGGATTTCATTTAAAAAATCTGGTCACCTTAGTTTTGGGGGGAAGGACTGTCTGTGTCCCAATGGGGAGATCTTCCTTCACTTCCTGTCTCCGAGACATATATATAATGCATTTTAAATGTATATATTATAAATATATTGGTTTATTCATCCTAAGCAGTTTGGGTTCCCTTTGGGTTTTGTGGCCATTCAAAGGGGCGAAGTTTTCGATATTTATATAAAGAATAATAACAGAATAGAATGAATGAATAGAAGAAGAAGAATAGAATGAAGCATCTGTGTTTTTTCTGTTTTCCGCAGACGGTCCTGACCATAAACAGCCACGTGCTGGGCTCCAATGAAGAATGCTTCGATGACTGGTCTAAGTTCCGGCCCGAGCGTTGGCTCCAGGACAAGAACACCATCAACCCCTTCGCCCACGTCCCTTTTGGCATCGGAAAGCGCATGTGCATTGGCCGCCGTCTAGCTGAGCTTCAGCTGCAGCTCGGTATTTGCTGGGTAAGTTACATGGCACCATCTGGTGGTCATACTCATCTTCCCCCTCTGGACCCACCTTGTCCCACAGTGGCTTACTCTGTCTGTGCCATGCACTTCGCTGCTTCCACCAGTAATGCATCAAATATGATGGGTGTCGATTTCAGTTGTCAGATAATTTCTGCCTTATGTTGTTTATATGGTATGGTCTTTCAGCAGTGTGACCCCCTTGCTTTGATTGGAAGGGCAAAAAAAAGGCCATTGGCTACAGTGAGGGGTGGATGTCATGCAGTGAGAGAGAACTGGTATCTCCATTACATCTACCAACAACTATTTACTACATGAGCCTGCCTGATTGCATAAACATGACTGGCTCTTGTAGGATGACCACCTGATGGGCAAGGTGGCCACCTCAGTCACTTGAAGGAGCATACCCAGTCCGTATATAAACTGGCCACTAAGCAACCTGGGCGCCTTACACTGGCCATCTATACATTGTAGACCTGGACGGATTACACTGGCCATATATTCATTGTAGACCTGGGCGCATTACACTGCCCGTCTATACATTGTAGACCTGGGGGCATCACACTGGCCATCTATACATTGTAGACCTGGGCGCATTACACTGGCCATCTATACATTGTAGACCTGGGCGCATTACACTGGCCATCTATACATTGTAGACCTGGGGGCATCACACTGGCCATCTATACATTGTAGACCTGGGACCATTACACTGCCATCTATACATTGTAGACCTGGGTGCATTACACTGGCCGTCTATACATTGTAGACCTCGGCGCATCACACTGGCCATCTATACATTGTAGACCTGGGCGCATTACACTGGCCATCTATACATTGTAGACCTGGGGGCATCACACTGGCCATCTATACATTGTAGACCTGGGACCATTACACTGCCATCTATACATTGTAGACCTGGGTGCATTACACTGGCCGTCTATACATTGTAGACCTCGGCGCATCACACTGGCCATCTATACATTGTAGACCTCGGCGGTCTTTTGCTTTTTCTCAGTACGTTTATATTCTGTTTTTTTCCTCCAGCTCGTCAGGAGATATAACATTGTAGCCACCGATAACCATCCCGTGGACACCATCCATTCCGGGACCCTGATGCCACACAGAGAGCTGCCGGTGGCCTTCCTCCACAGGTAGATCCAGGTGAGTCGGTGCCAACTGGTATACACCCACTAACCGTTTACCAGCACCATGCTTTATGACTGTGCAAGCATGCTGATGAAAGGTTCATTGAGCTTTGATTGAGCCTGATGCTTCAGAGTGCTGGAGGAGCACTGGACCCATTGATCGGTGAAATATAGGCTTGGTATTCAGTTGCCAGCTGAGGTGTAATGATCAGGACCCTCATACCTCCTGTTCCCTATTAATTGTAAGCGGTAATGATCAGGACCCTCATACCTGCTGTTCCCTATTAATTGTAAGCTGTAACAAGCAGGACCCTCATACCTCCTGTTCCCTATTAATTGTAAGCTGTAATGAGCAGGACCCTCATACCTCCTGTTCCCTATTAATTGTAAGCTGTAACAAGCAGGACCCTCATACCTCCTGTTCCCTATTAATTGTAAGCTGTAACAAGCAGGACCCTCATACCTCCTGTTCCCTGTTAATTGTAAGCTGTAATGAGCAGGACCCTCATACCTCCTGTTCCCTATTAATTATAAGCTGTAATGAGCAGGACCCTCATACCTCCTGTTCCCTGTTAGATGTAAGCTGTAACAAGCAGGACCATCATAGCTCCTGTTCCCTATTAGATGTAAGCTGTAACAAGCAGGACCATCATACCTCCTGTTCCCTATTAATTGTAAGCTGTAACAAGCAGGAGCCTCATACCTCCTGTTCCCTATTAATTGTAAGCTGTAACAAGCAGGACCCTCATACCTCCTGCTCCCCGTTAGATGTAAGCTGTAATGATCAGGACCATCATAGCTCCTGTTCCCTATTAGATGTAAGCTGTAAAAAGCAGGACCCCCATACCTCCTGTTCTCTGTTAGATGTAAGCTGTAGTGATCAGGACCCTCATACCTCCTGTTCCCTATTAGATGTAACAAGCAGGACCCTCATACCTCCTGTTCCCTATTAGATGTAACAAGCAGGACCCTCATACCTCCTGCTCCCTGTTAGATGTAAGGTGTAGTAATCAGGACCCTCATACCTCCTGTTCCCTATTAGATGTAACAAGCAGGACCCTCATACCTCCTGTTCCCTATTAGATGTAACAAGCAGGACCCTCATACCTCCTGCTCCCTGTTAGATGTAAGGTGTAGTAATCAGGACCCTCATACCTCCATACATACATTTGACAGGTCTCAGACAGAACAGGAAGTGATGGAGAATCTCCCCATTGCATGTCTACTGGGCAGGTCTATTGGGCAGCCTGATGTCACATAAAATGTATATCTTACAGGGATGAAATGTTATAATTTTATTAATATAAACAAACTGCGGTTTAAATAAAATGCGCTGAGTTAGAACATCCCAGCACCGTGCTTGACCGTGGTTCGCCTTCTCTGTCCACAGTGTCTCGCCTCGTGACGCACTCGAAGACGGCTGAGCGAGCTGTATCCAGTTTCTGCTTCACCTACTGCGCAGATCCTGGGCCTTGAACCCTGCGAGATAAGACGAGCGGCCGATGTTTACAGCCCTCCCCGAAAAGTCGGAGCGCCGGAGCTGGCAAAGGTCGATCCGATGACGGAAGCACGGAGCCGCCCACGCTACTCGCAAACCTAAACAGAGGCGGCTGCCCGATCCACGTTGTTTGTTTTTCTATAAGTAGGTCAGATCTTGCAAAGGTGAGAGAGGAGGACGCGCTGCTGATAAGACGCAGCGAGGAAAAGACTCAAAGGAGTTCATCGTAGCCGGTGACATGCTTTTTGCACCGGGTTGGAAGAGGGGGGTCCCAGAACAATGGCACACTGAGACTTCGGGGTCCCCGAGTAACCACATTCTACAGGACTCTCTTAAAGGGTATGTCCGCCCACTCTTGGTTGGTTACCGGCACATGGAATCTTCTCATAGAGAGCTGTGTCAGCCTCTTCTGCCTGACCCTGATTGACAGCCGGTGTTGCATGAAACGGCCTGCGCTCAGGTGTCAGACAGCAGAGTCTTTCTCATGCAACATCAGCTGCCAGTACAGTCACATCGGCTGCCAGTACAGTCACATCGGCTGCCAGTATAGTCACATGGGCTGCCACTACAGTCACATGGGCTGCCACTACAGTCACATCGGCTGCCAGTACAGTCGCATTGGCTGCTACGTTCTGACACAGTGCCGGCTTAGCCCAATGATAGCCCCGGCATTTCAGTGCCTACACCCCCCCCACCGCCATTCGCTATATCAGCCCCCATGTGAGGGTGCCCCCTTCTGGCTTCCTGTTATAATCCCCCCTCATCCTCTTGTACAATGGAGATAAGACATTGATCTGGTTTTATGTTGGGAACATTCGGCACTTCCTGTTAAATGTTATTTATGGTAATAAAGTTGTTCTACTTGTAAAGTACTCTTCTGTTCTGTATTTGTATTGTTTGTTTGTTGAAATAAAGTTTGTTCAAAAATTAACACAATAATTGTTTTCCTTTAAAATGTTACTGAACTGTGTTGCTTAAAAGTTGCTTTTCTGAAATATGATGCTGTCGGTCAGAGGAGGTACAGCACATCCCTCCATGGCTACCTCACCTCTCACAGCACATCCCTCCATGGCTACCTCACCTCTCACAGCACATCCCTCCATGGCTACCTCACCTCTCACGATACATCCCTCCATGGCTACCTCACCTCTCACGATACATCCCTCCATGGCTACATCACCTCTCAAAGCACATCCCTCCATGGCTAACTCACCTCTCACAGCACATCCCTCCATGGCTACCTCACCTCTCACAGCACATCCCTCCATGGCTACCTCACCTCTCACAGCACATCCCTCCATGGCTACCTCACCTCTCACAGCACATCCCTCCATGGCTACCTCACCACTCACAGCACATCCCTCCATGGCTACCTCACTTCTCACAGCACATCCCTCCATGGCTACCTCACCTCTCACAGCACATCCCTCCATGGCTACCTCACCTCTCACAGCACATCCCTCCATGGCTACCTCACCTCTCACAGCACATCCCTCCATGGCTACCTCACCTCTCACAGCACATCCCTCCATGGCTACCTCACCTCTCACAGCACATCCCTCCATGGCTACCTCACCTCTCACAGCACATCCCTCCATGGCTACCTCACCTCTCACAGCACATCCCTCCATGGCTACCTCACCTCTCACAGCACATCCCTCCATGGCTACCTCACCTCTCACAGCACATCCCTCCATGGCTACCTCACCTCTCACAGCACATCCCTCCATGGCTACCTCACCTCTCACAGCACATCCCTCCATGGCTACCTCACCTCTCACAGCACATCCCTCCATGGCTACCTCACCTCTCACAGCACATCCCTCCATGGCTACCTCACCTCTCACAGCACATCCCTCCATGGCTACCTCACCTCTCACAGCACATCCCTCCATGGCTACCTCACCTCTCACAGCACATCCCTCCATGGCTACCTCACCTCTCACAGCACATCCCTCCATGGCTACCTCACCTCTCACAGCACATCCCTCCATGGCTACCTCACCTCTCACAGCACATCCCTCCATGGCTACCTCACCTCTCACAGCACATCCCTCCATGGCTACCTCACCTCTCACAGCACATCCCTCCATGGCTACCTCACCTCTCACAGCACATCCCTCCATGGCTACCTCACCTCTCACAGCACATCCCTCCATGGCTACCTCACCTCTCACAGCACATCCCTCCATGGCTACCTCACCTCTCACAGCACATCCCTCCATGGCTACCTCACCTCTCACAGCACATCCCTCCATGGCTACCTCACCTCTCACAGCACATCCCTCCATGGCTACCTCACCTCTCACAGCACATCCCTCCATGGCTACCTCACCTCTCACAGCACATCCCTCCATGGCTACCTCACCTCTCACAGCACATCCCTCCATGGCTACCTCACCTCTCACAGCACATACCTCCATGGCTACCTCACCTCTCACAGCACATCCCTCCGTGGCTACCTCACCTCTCACAGCACATCCCTCTATGGCTACCTCACCTCTCACAGCACATCCCTCCATGGCTACCTCACCTCTCACAGCATATCCCTCCATGGCTACCTCACCTCTCACAGCACATCCCTCCATGGCTACCTCACCACTCACAGCACATCCCTCCATGGCTATCTCACTTCTCACAGCATATCCCTCCATGGCTACCTCACTTCTCACAGCATATCCCTCCATGGCTACCTCACCTCTCACGATACATCCCTCCATGGCTACCTCTCACAGACTCAGTGCATCCCTCCATGGCTACCTCTGCCAAACCTTTGTATCTGTCCTAGTAGCCAATGGCACCATGCAACCCGCACCACATCATTGGTTGCTAGGATGATGGACGCTGGGCTGCACAGTGTCATTGGTTGATAAGAGGCTGGCAGCTGCACAGCATCATTGGATATTATGGTGTGCCATCTGCATACTAGCAACCAATGACGATGTCTAGCCCAGCCGCTACTGTCCTAGTAACCAAGGATACTGTGCACATTTCACACAGGACCTACCTAGGACACATGCGGCACTGTGTTTGGTCCGCTTGGATGTTCGCTGCACCCGGATCTCTGTCTGAGTTCAGCAAACATCTAAGCAAACTGAACCCGGGGCCGATCACTTTACAATGCCAACCCATGATTGGTCAACAGGCTACCGTAAGACTTGACCTTTTATAATAAAGTTTATAGGCACTTAAATACCCACCTCACCCCCATTTCTAATCTGCAATCGGCCCTCCAGCTGTTGTGGAACTACAAGTCCCATGAGGCATTCTAAAGCTGCCCATACACCTTACAATTATCTGCAGATTTTCTGTGGTCAGATGGAAAAAGTGCAACAGATTGGCCCGGGTGGAGATTCCTCCATCCACACAGTTAATTGTAGATGGAGGAATCTGTTGCACCTTTTCCATCTGACCCCAGAAAATCTGCAGATAATTGGAAGGTGTATGGGGCAGCTTTAGACTGACAGTTACAGGCGTGACTCCCAGAGACAGAGGCATGTTGGGATTTGTAGCTAAAGCGCAGCTGGAGGGCTGGAGTTGCCCACCCCTGCAATAGGAGAACAATCACAAATTAGGTAGGTAAAAAAAAAAAAAGTTAGTAAGGTTAAAAAAAAAAAAGACAGGTTATTGTAATATTAAATACAAATAAAAGTCATTATAATAATAATTATTATTATTATACAGGATTTATAGAGCGCCAACAGTTTGCGCAGCGCTTTACAATATAAGGAAGACATTACAATTGCAATACAATTCAAGACAAGATGGTATTGAGGGCCCTGCCCCTGAGGGCTTACAATCTAAGAGGGAGGGGGAAGTGATATTAAATAAAGATACAAGTTATTGTAATATTAAATACAAATAAAAGTTATTATATTAAATAAAGACACAGGTTATTGTAATATTAAATACAAATACAAGTTATTGTATTAAATAAAGAAACAGGTTTTCAGATTGTAAGCCCTCAGGGGCAGGGCCCTACTTACCATTTGTCTTGAATTCTATTTTAATTGTAATGTCTTCCTTACATTGTAAAGCGCTGCGCACACTGTTGGCGCTCTATAAATACTATGTAATAATAATAATTGTAATATTAAATAAAAATACAAGTTATTGTAATATTAAATACAAATAAAAGTTATTATAATAAATAAAGACACAGGTTATTGTAATATTAAATAAAGACACAGGTTGTTGTAATATTAAATACAAATAAAAGTCATTATAATATTAAATAAAGACACAGGTTATTGTAATATTAAATAAAGATACAAGTTATTATAATAAATAAAGACACAGGTTATTGTAATATTAAATTATGGCACAAGTTATTTTAATATTAAATAAAGATAAACATTATTGTAAGGGTAAAAAAAGGATACAAGCTATTGTAAGATTAAAAACGATACACGTTATTGAAAGGAGAAAAAAAGATACATTAGTAATAAATACTAATAATAATAATAATCAGGATTTATATAGCGCCCACAGTTTGCGCAGCGCTTTACAATATAAGGAAGACATTACAATCACAATACAAGACAAGATGGTGAGGAGGGCCCGGCCCCTGAGGGCTTACAATCGACAATGTAAGTTAAGAATAAAAAAAGATACAAGTTTCTGTAAGTGGTGTAGGGGTCAGCACTTCTGCCTTGCAGCACTGGGGGTCCCTGGTTTGAATCCCGGCCACATCACTATCTTCAAGGAGCTTGCATGTTCTCTCTGCGCTTGGGTGGGTTTCCTCCCGCACAAAGACATGCTGGTAGGTTAATTGGCTCCTCTCTAAGTTGGCTATGCATGTGTGATAGGGACTATAGATTGTAGGCTCCTTGAGGGCAGGGGCGTCCTGAGGCTGGGTGTCACCCGGGGGCGGAGACTGGGTGATAGCCCGCCGTGACGTCATCGCACATGCGCGTGAGTCATGACGTCGTTGCGCATATGCAGTGGTCCTTTTGACGTCTGCCGGTGGCCATCTTGGTGATGGACGCCAGCAGAGAGAGGAGGGTACGTTCACCCGGCGGGATACGGTATGCTGCCGGGTCCCCTCCTCTCTCCTGACACTGCCG